TGAAATTGGAAGATTTTCTGAGGGGGGTTTTTGAGGATCTGTTGGGGGTTCAGTAGCTGGAAGATTTGCTGAAGTGGGTTTCTGAGCAGTTAGTGGGGGTTCAGTAGCTGGAAGATTTGCTGAAGCGGGTTTTTTAGCAGTTAGTAGGGGGCTGCTAGCTGGAAGACTTGCTAAGGTGGGTTTCTGAGGAGTTGGTGGAACCACTGTACTTAGAACATTAGCTGAAGTGGGTTTCTGTACAGTTAGTGAGGGCTTTGAAATTGGAAGATTTTCTGAGGGGGGGTTTTGAGGATCTGTTGGGGGTTCAGTAGCTGGAAGATTTGCTGAGCCAGGTTTCTGAGCAGTTAGTGGGGGTTCAGTAGCTGGAAGATTTGCTGAAGTAGGTTTCTGAGCAGTTAGTGGGGGTTCAGTAGCTGGAAGATTTGCTGAGCCAGGTTTCTGAGCAGTTAGTGGGGGTTTGTTAGCTGGAAGAGTTTCTGAGGTGACTTTCTGAGGAGCTGGTGTGGAATCTGTAGCTGGACCATTTACTAAGGTGGGTTTCTGAGGAGTTGGTGGGACCTCTGTACCTGGAACATTTGCTGAGGAGGTAGGTTTCTGAGCAGTTGGTGGGGGCTCTGTAGCTGGATCATTGACTATAGTAGGTTTCTGAGAAGCTGATGGGGTCTTGGGAGTTGGAGGGCTTTCTGTGGAGGAAAAATGTTTCATGTTAGGTAAATATTACTGTACAGATTAAGATTGCTAAACCAATTGCTTGCTCCCTGTCTTCTTTTTTCTCTCTCGGCAAACACCTAAAAATGACTTTTAGGAAATCTAAGGCTTATTTTGTATTTCACACACACACACACACACACACACACACACACACACACACACACACACATGCTACCCTACTGTGTTTTTGTCTTGGTATCAATTACATCTACAGTCACCTACAGTAGATTTACACCAAAGTAGTATTGAAGTTCTTTAGCTGTTTTCTGTGAGAGGAAAGGAGACTGAAGTCTGAGTTAGCAGGGATTTCATTCCATGGGACATCTTTACTTTCTCTATTAAATTGTCTCTTTACGCACAGGCTAAAACCAAAGAGCAGGACACAGCTAGTAAACAAATTGAGACCATCAATCAAGCATAGAAACTTTTCCTCAATGCCTTCAGGATACCTGAGTGAACTTGGAAGTTTGATTCACTTCTGTTTAAAGTAATAAAGGCAATATGAATAAAAGAACTGCCTTCTCTTGTTAGTTACTGTTGAGTCAAGCACTGAAGCAATGATTCTATGCAGAGTGGAACAGAACACTGCCTGGTCCTGTCCCATCCTATGGTCAGTTATAGATCAGACCATTAACACCCATAGCATTTTCACTGGCTGATTTTAGGAAGGAGATCAACAAGTCTTTCTTCTTAGTCCATCTTAGTCTGAAAGCTCTGCTGAAATCTGTTCATAACAGCAACATGCAAACCTCCAGAGACTCAAGTAGGTGGGAGCCATGCTTGAGGTACACTGGCTGGAACTCGAACCAGGTTCAGAGAATTCTACCACTGAACATTAGTTTACTTCCTGTTTGCCTTTTAGATCAGATACAAAATCATGTGAAACTTCATTATGTTAAGTTCATATTCTGAGAATCACTCTAAAACCTAACAAACTTTGTGCCTTTAAGAACCGTGATAATACAACAGTTCATTGCTTGGCTGCTAATCAAAACCCTGGTGGTTTGAACCCATCCAACAGCTTCTCGGGAGTAACATCTGGTGATCTGTTGCCATAAAGATTACAGTCTTGACAACTCTATGGGTGGTTCTACTGTGTAACCTAGGGTCACTCAGTCAAAATCGACTCAAGAGCATTTTATAACAACAGCAAGCCTGCAGCATGACTTGGGGTTACTTACACAAACTCCCTCTTAAGGCAGCTCCGATAGTGCTGAAGCTTGTTTTTATAATTTAGTAGTAACCTTCAGCAAATTCTCTAATCCCTATAAGCTCCAGGATTTTGACTAAGAGGTTGGTGGATCTTTGCTTCCTCAGCCCTGAAAGATTTCAGGTCTATCCTTCAAAGTCCTCCAGCCCAGTAACCTAGTCTTCTTCCCATGAAGCTTTCAAATGGATAAAAGTCTTAGAAAAGAGATCTGCCATGTGCTTGAGAAAGATCTACTTCTCTGATGGGGCTTTGTTTCCCAAATACCATGAAATTATAAGCGGTTTTTGGAGTCTTGGTATGGCGCTGGGGGTAAATGCGCCAGACTTCAAAGCCGTTTGAACTGCAAGGTTGGTGGTTCAAGCTCACCAGCTGTTCCTCAGAAACCCTATCCAGGGTGGCTATGGGTCAGAACTGACTTGACAGCACTTCACAACAACAACATAAGAGATTTTGCTCTTTTTAGAAACTCTGAAGCTAGCTCCCAGCTTTATGTGCAAAAGTCAGCAAATGGCCCTTAGGAAATTAGCTTTGCATTCGAGATCCTTAATTTTCCAGTGTTTTACCTAAACCCTCCACAATCACTGAAGGCTTTGTGGATATCTCTTTTTTCCTGGAAGTAACCACGTTCAAGAATGTCAGTATGGATCCTCAGCCCATACCTAGAATCAGCTAACGCCTCCCCAGGGAAAAATACAACTGGCTCACCTCAGAATGGTCTGCCTTCACAGCACTACCCAACTCCAGATTTTACTTCAGGTAGTCCTGATGTGGTGCTGTAGAATCAGCACTGAACTGTGAACCACAAAGTCGGCAGCTCAAACCCACCAGCTGCTTCTTGGAAACCCTATACAGGGTTGGTATGAGTCGGAACCGACTCAACAGCACTTAACAACAAGTCCTTATTATTTTCACAGCTGTATATTATGCCTTAAAAAATACGTTGTCTTTTTCAGTAACCTAATTAGAGTTTTCTAGTTGGTATAATGGAGTCATGGTGTGGCGTTGTGGGTTAACGTGCTGGACTGCAAGGTTGATTTGAACTGCAAAGTCAGCGGTTCAAACTCACCAGTTGTTCCATGGAAATCCTATACAGGGTCACCATGAGTCCAAAAGGCACTTTACAACAACAGCAGCTGGTGTAATAAGAACATTTACCTGCCTTGATCTGCTTGGGCACTACCATACAGTTTTAAGTTCTATATAACTGAGGATTTAATAAAAGAAGGAAAAATAAATATGAAATAGATAAAATGGCCAAATTAAAAAACAAACAAACAGAAACTAAACTTCACTCATAATTAAATAATTTCCATGTCATAATAATTATTAAGGGTGCAGAGAAACCACACATTGTTGCAGGGCAGATGAGAGAGTATACTAGCATAGTCTCCTTTGAAACAATGTTGATAACATCTATCAAAAATCTAAATGCATAAACTTTGGACACAGCAATTATGCTGCTAGAAACTTGCATAAAATGTACACAGATGTGATGATCTATATATAATAATATCTATTGTAATAATAATTTTTTTAAAAAACAAGATAACCTATAATTCCAAATCTAAATCTTTACCAGTAGAAAACTGGTTAAAGAAATGATATATCCAAACGACTGATACTAGGAAAAAAGAGATATGTGTATGTTCCTTTATTTGTATATGGACACACAAGAATTTGTAAACAGTGGTTAATTCTGTGAGTAGGACAGGGGATAAACCGGAAACTTTATTTCTCCTTTTATACTGATCTGTGTGGTTTGAATATTACTTCACTGTTTATAATAAAATGATTTTCAGTGAGCAGTGATTTAAAATATTAATGTCCATAGAATCATGAGCGTAATTTTAAAAGTGGGATCTGCTCACATGAGATTGGCACCCACCATTGCTTAAACAAAGAATACTTAATAGTACTGTTCAATGCTATAATCCAGCTTCATTTATCTAGCTCCTTTTAAAGAAATTTAAAGAGCAATGCTACATATCTGAGAGTACCGCTGAGATATACGAAGGTATTAAAGGAGCTCTGGTAGCATAGTGGTTCCGAATCGGGCTGTGAACCTTAAGGTCAGCGGTTCGAAACTACCAGTCGCTCCGCGGGAGAAAGATGAGGCTTTCTACTACCGTAAAGATTTACACCCTCGGAAACCCTGTATAGGGTCGCTATGGGTCGGAACCGACTCGATGGCACTTAACAACAACAACAACAAGGGAGAAAAAAGTTCAAAAGGATGAAGAACAGAGAGAGGTCATTATACAGAAAAATTCTAGAGGCCGAAGATAAATTAATACAATTCGATTAAATCAACAGCTAAGCAAGGGGTTTCTTTCTCTTTCAGTTGTCCCATGTTACATAGACACCTCAATTCAATCTAAGCTTTTCCCTTATGCCAATTTAATATAATAAAACATATAATTTTTGTATAAACAAACACATATCTAGATTAATTTACTGAGAGTAACATGGTATGAAGCAGTGAAGTTAAATTCATTCACTAAATATAAGATATACATAGGAACTTCAAAATGTTCATAGAAAGATGAAATGAAAATATAATGGAAGTTTTCCATGAACTTTTTGAAGTCCCCTCATATATTTCATACATATATATGAATCTTTCTCATGTATAGACACATACACACACACATACACACAGGGATTTTGACAAGTTTATGGGAAAATGGAATTGAAAGATAATCCATGATGTATAAAGCTGTTTGAACTGCAAGGTTGGTGGTTCAAGCTCACCAGCTGCTCCTCGGAAACCCTATACAGGGTCACTATGGGTCGGAGTTGACTCGGTGGCACTTAACAACAACATATATATTTATACCAAAACCAAAACCACTGCCATTGAGACTCTGTATTAGGTTTCTAAGTCTCTAAATCTTGACAGATGGAAACAGAAAGCCTTATCTTTCTTCCGAGGAGCAGAAAGTGGATTTGAACTGCCAAGCTTATGGTTAGCAGTGGAGTATTCCTACAGGGCCATCAGGACTCCTTCCTCATTTATATGTCTGGATGTTAGCATGGTTCGCTGTATCATCCTGTACTCTATACAGCCCCTCTCAGAAGCTGATGAAAAAATAGTGCCCCCAGAAATATGCAAATATTTTTATACACGTTTTACATTAATTCTCAAGAAGTTCATAGAATCTCTGCAGCCCATTTAAGTCTAATGGTAAGAATCCCTGCTCATCAAGAAAAAATAAAGCAAAAATATAAATATGCAAACTGCTTACCTTCACATTTAGGTGGCAGGCCACTCCATTCACCTTGGTCACCTTTTACAGTACACTGAATAGAGTTCTTTCCCACCATCATGAAGCCTTCAGTGCATTCATATTCTAGAGATTGTCCATATACATAATTGTGCTGTTCCTCTTTGATTTTTCCATTGTCAATTTTTGGTGGTTCTGGACAAATTATTTCTTGGGAAAAGAAATGTATTCCAATACGATTTAAATAAATAAAACTGGCAAGGTATTTTACAAATAAGAATTAAATTATCTTGAAGAGTTTAATTTTTCAAAAATCTACCACATTTCAAAATTTAGCATTACCATCAAAGATGCTTACAAATTCTTACAGTTGTTGGTGTGTAGTGTCACTAAGTAGGTTCCAACTGATAGTGACTCTGTATAGAGTTCCCAACGAGTGGTAGGCGGGTTTGAAACACTGACCTTTTGGCTAACAGTCTAGGGCTCATCCTCCAACTTTGTTTTGTTTAGCGTGAAGGCAATGTTATCACATTGTTGTTGTTGTTGTTGTTAAGTGCCATCGAGTCGGTACTGACTCACAGCGACCTAATGCACAGCAGAACAAAACACTGCCTGATCCTGGGCCAACCTCATTATTGTTGCCATGCTTGAGTCCATCGATGCTGCCACTTTGCCAATCCATCTCGCACATACCATATATTATATGACAATAAACGTATGTAAGTACCAAGAGAGTACTAGCAAATTTATAAATTACTCTTATGTAATGGTGTGGAGCTGTGGGTTAATGTGCTGGACTGCAAAGTAGTTTTGAACCACAAGGTCGGCAGTTCAAGCTCATCAGTCGCTCCTCGGAAACCTTATACAGGGTCGCTATGGGTCGGAGCTAACTCAACGGCACTTAACAACAACAACGATAAGCTTTACTATCAAAGCAAGGAGCAAAAACAAGCTAATATGCTTCACACCATGTTAGGGTATGAAGTTATTACAGGTTATCTTGGAGGCACTGCAGGTATGGTTTCAGGTTAGCACAATAAAGTATATATTTCAATAAAGCCACGTGAATATTTGGGTTTCCCAGTACATATAAAACATATGTTACATGATGGTGGGTGTATAGTCTATTAAATGTGCAAAATAATTCTTTTTTTAATCTGAAAAGCTGAGAATTAGCAAAATGTGACAGAGACCCAATATGAGCACATAAACTAAACCCAATTCCACTGACATTGTCATTTCCAGCTCACAGTGACCCTGTGAGACACAGTAAACGTGCTTCACAGTGTTTCTGAGACTGTAAATCTTCATGGGGGCAGGCAGCTTCATCATTCTTCCTCCGAGTGATTAGTGGGTTTGAACCACCAATTTTTCAGTTAGCAGCCCAGTGTTTAATCCACTGCACCATCAGGGCTCCTTAGTGAGCACATACTGTTAGAAAAATGGTACCTGCAGATTGCTTAATGCAGGGTTGCCACAGATCTTCAATTAATAAAAAAATGCATTATCTATGAATCACACTAAAGTGAAGTTCAAAAAAATGAGGTATGTTGTTAAGTGCCGATGAGTTGGTTCTGACCCATAGCGACCCTCTATAGGGTTTCTGAACAGTGGCAGGTGAGTTTGAACCACCGATCTTGCGGTTCAAACCGACTTTTAGGTCGAGTGCTTATCCCATAGCGCCATGCCGGGATTCCTAAAATGAGGTGTACACACCGTCATATATTCAGGTCAAAGATTTTCTGAACATTTAATATGTACTAAGAATTGTTCATAAGCAGAAGTGCAAACTAAAAAAAATATGTTCCCATGTCTTAGTAAAAGGAGCCCTGGTTGTGTAGTGGGTTGCACATTGGGCTGTTAACAGCACGGTCAGGAGTTCAAATCCATCAGCTGCTCCACAGAAGAAAGAGGTTTTTCTGCTCCTATAAAGATTTACAGTCTCAGAAACCTGACATAGGGTTTCTATGAGTCAGAACTGACTCGATGGCAGAGGATTAGGTGTCTTAATAAAGAGCCCTGATGGCTCTGAAGGCTAAGCACTGGAATGTTAAACATAAGGTTAGTTCATATCCACCAACCACTGCTCAGGAAAAAGCTAAGACTTTCTGCTCCCATAAAGATTTGCAGTTTCTGAAACCCTATGCAGGGTCACTGTTGAGTTAGAATCTTCTCAATGGTAGTGCGTTTGATGTTTCTTTTATGTGTCTTAATATCTAGTGAGGAAAAGAGTCAAAGAGATCATTTCAATATCAAATGGTAAGCATTATCATAAAAGTAAACATAGCCTGGGGAGCCAGGAATAGCTTCCAAGAGGATGATACCAAGCAGACTTTGATGAGGAAATTACAGCCAAGAGAAGAAAGGTCAGAAGGGCATTCTGGACAGGGGCGGCAGCCTAAGGAGAGATGTGGGAGTGAGAAGGAGTATGAGGTACACGGGGATCTACAAGCAGGTTGTGTGGGTAGAGCATTTCATATGAGGACAAGGCATGATTTTGAACAGGTGGGAGGACCATGACTAGCCTGGATAGAATACCAAGAATTCTGGATTTTGTAAGTGATGGGGAGACACTAGTAAACTTTATGAGAAAAGAACCAAGCTGTAATTAATGTTTCTGATAGAGTATGGGTGAAACATTAATGGAAAACAAGAATGGAGACAGGAGACTATTTCAATTACTATGACCCTGGAACCCAGGCAAGTGGGTCTCCTGACCAGACCCCACCCTTTACAGTGCCATGTTCAGACTGTCCTTTGGTTATGTTTCTCCTCATCATGCGGGGTATCATTTTATGTCCTCGTCTGAATCGGGCTTGACCTCTGGCAGTTCCCATCAATGTACTGTTGCAGTCATTTTTGAATTATCTTTAGCAAAATTTTACTTGCATGTATTAATGATATTGTCTGATGATTTCTGTATTTCACTGGATCATTTCTCTTTGGAATGGGCACAAATATGGATCTCTTCCAATCAAATATGGACAGTTTGCCAGATAACTGCCATCCAAATTTATTGGCATAGATGAGTGAGTGCCTCCAGTGCTGCATCAGTTTGTTTAAAGATTTTAATTTGTATTCCATCAATTCCTGGAGCCTTGTTCTTTGCCAATGCATTCACTGCAGCTTGGACTTCTTCCTTCAGTGTCATTGACTCTTGATCATATGCTACCGCTACCTCTTGAAATGGTTGAACATCTACCATTTCTTTTTCTTTTGCTCAACAAGATCTCTCTCTCTTTT